TATTGAGATAATATAGATAGTATATTGTGTTTTGAGCTGTTTTTGAGATATTATAGACAGATAAGCTTAGTTGAGAAGATTGAGTTATATAGTTATAGAGAGAGAGTCGTGACTGCTTTGTCTCCAGGACTGACCTTAAGTTATAGATAGGGGAAAAGCCTGCCTTTTTCTAAACCACAACAGCTTTAGGTTAGGGTGTTAAGATTCCAGAATCTTATCTGCCATCTGGAGAAAGGGTTGCCTCTGTAACTATAGAAAAGAAAGAATATTTTTGTAACTTCATCTATTGACTGTTTGTTTGCAACTTTGATGATCTGTGATGAACTGTGCCAAGTCTTCAAGGACTTTGAATAAATAAATATTCTTTTTTGATGTTTAAAACCAGTACTAGTCTCAGTTGCTTAGTATCTTAAGTTTTCAAGATAGACAACTGCAGTTCACTCAGCTATAGAGAGAAGCACGTCGCAGTCTTATTTTTTATAGTGTCTGGGTGGACGGCACACCACTGCCAGGTTGTTGCTTCCTCGTTGGTTTCCATTGTTGGTTTCAAATCATGGAATTTGACAGCAGAAAGAAAAACCAAAGGCCATCTGGCCCAACCCCCTTCTGCCAGGCAGGAAGACACAACCAAAGCCCTCCCAACAGATGGCCACCCAGCCTCTACTTAGAAATCTCTGGAGAATAAGTCTCCAACAGACTCCCAGGCAGCAGCAGATTCCACTGCCAAATATCTCTAAACATCCTCCTGATGTTTGGGTAGAATCTATTTTCCTGCCATTTTAATCCATTGCTCTGTGCCCAAGTCTCCAGAACGAACCTCATCCAATGACTGATCAAGACCACACTTGACAAACAGAGCCCCCATGACCCATTCTACATCCTGGTGCTATTTGGAGGAGGATGGACCATGGATGATGGGACTTGCAGTACCTTCACTCACTTCCTGAGACCACTGCGACCCTCATCCAATGACTGATCAAGACCAAACTTGGCACACAGAGCCCCCATAACCCACTCTACATCCTGGTGTAGTTTGGAGGAAAATGGACTACGGATGATGGGACTTGAAGTATCTTCACTAACTTCCTGAGACCACTGCAAGCCACATAGCTGATAAAGACCAAACTTGACACACAGAGCCCCCATGACCCATTCTACATCCTGGTGCTATTTGGAGGAGGATGGACCATGGATAATGGGACTTACAGGACCTTCACTCACTTCTTGAGACCACTGCGACCCTTATTGAATGACTGATCAAGACCAAACTTGGTACACTGAGCTCCCATGACCCATTCTACATCCTGGTACTGTTTGGAGGAGGATGGACCATGGACGCTGGGACCTGCATATGAGAGTTTTAGTTCACCCACACCCACTTACTCCGGAATGACGTCAGACTTAAATCTTACTCCAGGAAACAAACAGGGCCAGCTAATCACCAAGCTGACATTGGATCTAGGCTAAACATGGAGCACAGACAAACAATGCCTTTCCCAAACAACATGGGCACTGCCAGGTCCCCAAGCTAGTAATAAATAAATATAGCACTGTTCGAATCCCCCTGTCTCCTTCTGTTTCTCAGTCTAAGCACTTGCATAGCTCAAGCCTGAACAAAAATGTACTCCACTTTGGCAGGAAAAACGAAATGCAAAGATACAGAAAGGGGGACAATGCCTGGCGTGAGAGCAGTACGTGTGAAAAAGATCTTGGAGTCCTCGTGGACAACAAGTTAAACATGAGCCAACAATGTGATGTGGCGGCAAAAAAAGCCAATGGGATTTTGGCCTGCATCAATAGGAGCATAGTGTCTAGATCTAGGGAAGTCATGCTACCCTTCTATTCTGCCTTGGTTAGACCACATCTGAAATATTGTGTCCAATTCTGGGCACCACAATTGAAGAGAGATGTTGACAAGCTGGAATGTGTCCAGAGGAGGGCGACTAATATGATCAAGGGTCTGGAGAACAAGCCCTATGAGGAGCGGCTTAAAGAGCTGGGCATGTTTAGCCTGAAGAAGAGAAGGCTGAGAGGAGATATGATAGCCATGTATAAATATGTGAGAGGAAGCCACAGGGAGAGGGAGCAAGCTTGTTTTCTGCTTCCCTGGAGACTAGGACGCAAAGGAACAATGGCTTCAAACTACAAGAAAGGAGGTTCCATCTGAACATGAGGAAGAACTTCCTGACTGTGAGAGCCGTTCAGCAGTGGAACTCTCTGCCCTGGAGTGTGGTGGAGGCTCCTTCTTTGGAAGCTTTTAAACAGAGGCTGGATGGCCATCTGTCAGGGGTGATTTGAATGCAATATTCCTGCTTCTTGGCAGGAGGGTTGGAATGGATGGCCCAGGAGGTCTCTTCCAACTCTTTGATTCTATGATTCTATGATTCTATTCTATGAACAAAAATGTAACAGTGTCCAAAAATCCCTGGCTCGGCAATCTCCCGGGGCATTGCCCGATTCATCAACTTCATGCATCTTGTTTTAGAGTTGCCACACACACAAACACTCACTGATTGCTTGGATGCCCCAACACCTTCTGCCTTGGAGGAAGCCTGTTCCCTGGGGATCCCCCAACTCTGCCCTCCTTCCTGGCTGGATCCTTTCTGGCTCTGGGCTCCCTGTGGGCTCTGGGTCTGCGCAAGGCCAGCGGAGGGGCTGCCCATGTCTCCCGAGGGGGTGCGAGGCCCATTCCTGGCCCTCCGGGGCCACCCTAACCCCAAGCCCGCCCTCAGCTGCAGAAGAAGGCAAGGAAGGGCTGGGAATCCCCTCGCCAAGGTAAAAGCCCAGCTCTACTCACCGGAGCAGCAGCTGCTCCCCGCCAGGAGGACAGCCAAGCTCAGGAAGAAGCGGGGGGGACCCCATCTCAGGCCCATCCGGCCCCCCGAAACCCCCTCACTGCCTTCTTTCTGGGCGAGACTCCGGAGCGACCCCAGCGCGTTCCTCTCTCTTCGCTGCCCAGCCACGGACTCAGAAAAGGCGAAGAGCCAGGATTGGACGGAAGGGTAGCATTCCTCCAATCGCAAAAAAGAGGCACTTCGGTGACGTCACCGAGTGCTAGGGAGATTCCGCCCAGCCGCAAACTGAGCAAAGTTGGTGAAAACGAAAGTAGAAACTGGCAACAAAAAAAACCAGCAGCCATTCGTTTGCATTGGCGAAGGCTTTCATGGCAGGAATCCGCGCGTTGATGTGTTTTCGGGGCTGTCTGGGCATGTTCTAGTAGCATTCTCTCCTGACGTTTCGCCTGCATCTGTGGCAGGCATCCTCAGAGGTTGTGAGTGTTGGAAACTAGGAAAATTGGATTTATATATCTGTGGAAAGTCCAGAATGGGAGAAAGGCCAGAGGAGGGCGACTAAAATGATGATGATGATGATTATGATGATGATGATTATTATTAACTTTATTTGTAGCCCGCTAACATCTCATATTGACAACTGGAATGTGTCCAGAGGAGGGCGACTAAAATGATCAAGGGTCTGGAGAACAAGCCCTATGAGGAGCGGCTTAAGGAGCTGGGCATGTTTAGCCTGAAGAACAGAAGGCTGAGAGGAGATATGATAGCCATGTATAAATATGTGAGAGGAAGCCACAGGGAACAATGGCTTCAAACTAAAAGAAGGAAGATTCCATCTGAACATTAGGAAGAACTTCCTGACTGTGAGAGCTGTTCGGCAGTGGAACTCTCTGCCCCGGGGTGTGGTGGAGGCTCCTTCTTTGTAGGCTTTTAAACAGAGGCTGGATGGCCATATGCTGGGGGTGCTTTGAATGCAATTTTCCTGCATCTTGGCCGAATGGGGTTGGACTGGATGGCGCACCAGGTCTCTTCCAACTCCAGGATTCTATGATTCCTGCATTTGTCCTTGTTGAACTTCATTTTGTTAGTTTTGGTCCACCATCATCTCTCTAATCATTATAAACCCCACTTGCCCTATTTTTCTAACAGACTTCACCATCTCTGAGGATGCTTGCCAAAGATGTGGGTGAAACGTCAGGAGGGAATGCTTCTGGAACATGGTCAGAAAGCATGAAAAACTCACAGGAATATGTGTAGGTTCAGGTTGTTGTTGTTATTCATTCGTTCAGTCGTCTCCGACTCTTCGTGACCTCATGGACCAGCCCACGCCAGAGCTCCCTGTTGGCTGTCACCACCCCCAGCTCCTTCGAGGTCAGTCCAGTCACTTCAAGGATGCCATCCATCCATCTTGCCCTTGGTCGGCCCCTCTTCCTTTTGCCTTCCACTTTCCCCAGCATAATTGTCTTCTCTAGGCTTTGCTGTCTCCTCATGATGTGGCCAAAGGACTTCAACTTTGTCTCTAATCTCCTTCCCTCCAATGAGCAGTCGGGCTTTATTTCCTGGAGGATGGACTGGTTGGATCTTCTCGCAGTCCAAGGCACTCTCAGAACTTTACTCCAACACCACAGTTCAAAAGCATCTATCTTCCTTCGCTCAGCCTTCCCTAAGGTCCAGCTCTCACATCCGTAGGTTACTACAGGGAATACCATGGCTTTGACTAGGCAATGGATCTTTGTTGCCAGTGTGATGTCTCTACTCTTTACTATTTTATCGAGATTGGACATTGTTCTCCTCCCAAGAAGGAAGCGTCTTCTGATTTCCTGGCCACAGTCTGCATCTGCAGTCATCTTTGCACCTAGAAATACAAAGTCTGTCACGGCCTCCACCAAATTTGTGAGGAAGCCGGGCAATGATCAATATCAGCTTAGGAGCTGGTTTATAAAGGGACTATTAATTACAGAAGGATTTATTTATTTGACAGCGTAGCGTTTAATGTCCCTGATTTGGTCTTACTTCTTATGCAGGGCTGTTTGACTTAGGAAAAACTGTATCAAAGGCAATGCTTGAAGAAACAGTAGCAAGTTTATTGGAATAAAGCAGGGTATAACAGATTCAATGTTTCTTCTCTAGAGGCACAAACTTAGTTAGTTACATTGCTAAGGGTTCTTGAATAACTTTAGGTACAGACTTCAAGAGGTTTCTTTAAGCAAATGTATCTTTCCTGGACAACTGTCCTAATAAAACAAATAAGCTAAGAGGCTTATTTAACAGAATTGGTTCACAGTCAAACCTTGATTCTTAACCAAGAATCAATCACCCCCTGTAGCTCTATCACTACAGGATCCTTTCCTGTAACCCTTTTGGTCACAGATTAGTTTCCTAAATCTCCCACCAGAGATTTCAGTCTTCTCTGTAGCTCACCGGCTTACAGACTGCCCATTTTCAAACAGATGTGCAGTTAAGTGACAGTTGGCTCCACCCCCGTTGCTATGGCAACTCAGCTCAAGCCAAGCCAGCCACCATCTCTAACAAAATATAATTCTACATACTTACCATTATTAACTATTGCCTAAACAACAAATAACTATAAGAATAACAATACACATCTTCATAGCAACGGATTTTGAATTCTGCTCGTCTTCTAGAGCCTTGGCTCTCCCTCCCAATTTGTTGTCATCTGCAAACATGATGACCAAGCGTTCTAACCCTTACTCTAAGTCATTAATAGAGATCCTGAATAGAATCGGGCCCAGGATGGAACATGTAGGTGAAATACTATCCCAATAAATCAAGGTCAGTTTCCCCCAAACCTGGTCATGGGGGTTCTGTATGCCAAATTTGGTCCATGTCCATTATCAGTGGGAATCACAGAGCTGTGTCTTGGTGCAGGGCAAACTACAACTTCTGTCAGGTTGAGTCAGTTCCCTAAACCCTTCCAGGATGTTTATTTATTTATTTATTTATTTACTTCATTTTTAGACCGCATTTTTCAGCCTAACTCGGCGACTCAATGCGGTTTACAATACAATTTCTAACAGTAACAACTAATTAAAACACATTATACACAGACAGACAATACAACATAATCATCAACGCCTCAGTAAAATCAGATCCCGTTCTCATAATCCTTCTGCCATTCCTTGTTCAGTTATACCGTCTTCATGAGTTCAGTTGCATTGTTAGCCGAACGCCTGTTCATAGAGCCACGTCTTGACCCTCCTCCGAAACGCCAGCAACGAAGGGGCCTGCCTGATGTCCACTGGTAGGGCATTCCATAGCCGAGGGGCCACCACCGAGAAGGCCCTGTCTCTCGTCCCCGCCAACCGTGCTTGTGACGCAGGCGGGACCGAGAGCAGGGCCTCCCCGGACGATCTTAACGTCCTCGTCGGTTCATAGGTGGAGATGCGTTCGGAGAGGTAAGCGGGCCGGAACCGTTTAGGGCTTTATAGGCTAAAGCCAGCACCTTGAATTGTGCCCGGTAGCAAATTGGCAGCCAGTGGAGCTGGCTCAGCAGAGGAGTGGTATGCTCCCTGAGTGCCGCTCCCGTTAGCAACCTGGCTGCCGACCGCTGGACCATCTGAAGCTTCCGGGCAGTCTTCAAGGGCAACCCCACGTAGAGCGCGTTGCAGTAATCTAGGGATGTAACCAGAGCGTGGACTACCGTGGCCAAGTCAGACTTCCCAAGGTACGGGCGCAGCTGGCGCACAAGTTTTAATTGTGCAAATGCTCCCCTGGAAACCGCCGAAACCTGGGGTTCCAGGCTCAGCGATGAGTCCAGGGTCACACCCAAGCTGCGAACCTGCGTCTTCAGGGGGAGTGCAACCCCATCCAGCACAGGCTGTAACCCTATGCCCTGTTCGGCCTTGCGACTGACCAGGAGTACCTCTGTCTTGTCTGGATTCAGTTTCAATTTGTTCAGCCCTCATCCAGTCCGACACAGCGGCCAAGCACCAGTTCAGGACCTCAACAGCCTCCTTAGTAGCTGGTGGAAAGGAGTGACAGAGTTGGACATCATCTGCGTACAGATAACACTGCACCCCGAAACTCCGGATGATCTCTCCCAACGGCTTCATGTAGATGTTAAACAACATGGGGGACAGTATTGAACCCTGCGGGACCCCACAAGACAATGGTTGTGAGGACGAGCAGGTGTCCCCCAACAACACCTTCTGGGTACGATCCTCTAGGAAGGACCTGAGCCACTGTCAAAACAGTGCCACCAAGGCCCATTCCCGCGAGGCGTCCCAGAAGGATACCGTGGTCGACGGTATAGAAGGCCGCTGAGAGGTCCAGCAGAACCAACAGGGACACACTCCCCCTGTCTAGCTCCCGGCGCAGATCATCCACTAAGGCGACCAAGGCTGTCTCGGTACCATGTCCCGGCCTAAAGCCAGACTGTGCCGGATCCAGATAATCCGTGTCTACCAAGAATGCCTGGAGTTGTGAGGCCACCACACGTTCCAAGACTTTGCCCAAAAAGGGGAGATTGGAAACAGGCCGATAGTTGACGAATTGAGTGGGGTCCAGTGATGGTTTTTTCAACAGCGGTTTTATTACAGCTTGTTTTAAGCTGGCTGGAATTTTGCCTTCCCGAAGGGAGGCATTAACCACCACCTTCACCCACTCGGCCAATCCCCCTCTGGCCTCCTTTAGAAGCCAGGATGGGCAGGGGTCTAGGATGCATGTGGTTGCCCTCATTCCTCCAAGCACCTTGTCCACATCCTCAGGTTTCACAAATTGAAACGAATCCATCAAAATCGGACAGACAGGTGTTCTCGTCACATCCTCAGAGACTGCCGTTAACATGGTATCCAGACCCGAACGGATCAAAGCGACTTTGTCCGCAAAGAACCGTGCAAATGCTTCACAGCGGGCCGTCGAGTTGTCAGGGTTCCCATCCGGAGTGGTGGGATTTAATAGACCTCTGACAACTCGAAACAGCTCAGCCGGACGGTTCTTTGCGGACGCAATATTGGCCGCAAAGAAAGATTTCTTTGCCGCCTTTATTGCCACGGCATATGCCCTTAAAAGGGCAACAAACCGTGTTCGGTTTAACTCGCTCGGGTCCGAACGCCACACGC